GRRRARGKKKTWCAAAGAAAACATGGAACTTACTTTGAGATAACCCTGCCAGATTTTTCAGGATTATGTAAATAGTGTTTAACCTATGTTTCATTCTATGTATGAATTCAGTGAAAGAAGGGGTTAAACTGAGAAGGGCAATCCCTTGAACCTTTGCTCAACCCTGGAACTGATTCCAAACATCCTACAGTCCAGGACGGTGCTGTGTGGGATATCTCTTCTTATGGATCCCTCTCAAGGTCCCTGCAATGGAAGTCATGAATATCTGYGTTGTTCCCTTTCCTCTCCGTAGTCTCTGAGAGCAACCGGGATGTTTCCGTGCAGCCTGGGATCAAAGTTGGGTGGGCGAGAGCGTGTGAACCGATGGCTGTCAGCAGGGCTGTTACCCCGCCAGAGGTCCTGTGGAATTTCTGTTTAAAGTTCAGCAGGAAAATAAACTGTCCTCATGCACCCCTGAGCTCTGTTGCCAGTTTGGAAAGCATTAACAGCGTGTGAAATTTATAAGGAGGAGTAATGGAATACTGCTGCAGTATGGAAACCTGGCCATGTCCTGACTCACCAGGCAGGATTTAAGTGGAAAACTGAGAACTTTGGTACACAAGAGTATGGTGGCCATCCCCTGAGATGGGGTTTTAGTATACAGTTTTCAGGTTTTGTTAGCTTGTAACTTAATGGAACTTGTATGTGTTGGGCCCCTATTGCTGTGGCTCTTGTACACTGAGAACTCTCCCTGATAATRTGTCAGCCGAGTAATGGCACACTTCACTTTTTGTTTGGAACAATTGAATTTTAGAATAGATGCTCTCAATTAGCATAGTTCAAACCAATGTTATTGTAACTACGATATGTGTACCACTGCCTCGTGTGCTAAGGATATTAAGGTGAGCACTTAAAATTGGCAGGGCAGTAAATGCTCTGTGTGAGCTAATAAAAGGATCCCGTTAAGAAACTGAACCCTCTTACTGCCTACTTTACAGGTGAAAGCTTGCAATCTGATTCCACCACTAGGTACAGGGTGGTAGGAAGGCACATTTTCTCCAGAGCATGCAATGCTGCCAAACCAGCAGTCCCAAGCGTCCTTCAGCAATGTTTCCTGCAGCTGAGCAAGATTGCACAAGCTGTGGTGTGGAGGACTAGCTGCTTTATTTTGGCTGAGAATCCTTTGAAGACGCTGGTCCTGATTCTTTACCGCCTGAAACCKTTTGCTATTTATACCTGGGTAAAGTGAATGCCGAGCAAGCGTAAAATGCCACTACCCTGGTGCTAAAGGAGCTCTTATCCACTTTGCCCAAATATAAATGACTATGCACAGGGTGAAGCAAGTTCAAGGTCTCTCTTTTTGTTGTGACATTGCCCCTAGATCCTGCTGCTCGGTGCTGACAGTGTGAAAGAAGGAGGCTGCATCTTCCTGTGGCTTTGAGCTCAAGGTGTGCAAACTCGGGCGAGTGAGAGCACTCGCTTCTGGTCCCGCTAGTAGCCAGAGGGAGGCAAAACACGTTTCTCCTTTCCCGTCCCGGAGGCGCCCGAGCAGGGTGTCCGGACAGCAAATGCATTCGCCAGTTCCCTGACAGCCTGTGGCGGGGACGGGGGGAATGAGAGTCGAAAACGTCCAGAGGAGGCAGAAATGCGCACTGCCCTCTGCAACCGCGCAGCTGCCGGGCACGAAAGGCAACACTCCGGGGGCACGGCTGTCCCGGGGCAGCCGCCTGCGGGGCTCCGGCGGGATRAGGAAGGAAAAGCCCCCGCCCGGCGCAGCTGCCGCCCGCCAGCGCTCGAACCTCGGGCGGCTGCGGTGCCTTCTGCCGGCGGCGGGGCGCGCCTGAGGGAGGCGTTCACCTTCCGCTCSTTTCAGAGCGTCCCCACACCGCCAAAAACCAAAACCAACCCCAAAAGCCGTAAAAATCAGAGCTTGTTTAATGAAATCTAACAACTTCATTTTCTCCCTCACACAATATGTGGCCCGTGCAGCCGCGCACGGCAGTGCGCTGACATGCCGCGTATTGCAAGGACACGGTCCTTGAAATCCTCTGGCACCGCTAGCTCCCGCTTTCACGCTAGAGCAGAGACAGATAAGGATATCGTGAAGGAGAAATTTGGAGTTGCGTATTATAAAACCGAATCCTTAAAAAACCTGCATGCTTTTGGCAGTACTTCATATCTTGTAAATAGAACCCATATATATTCATGCATATTTTAAGCAGAATATAGTGTACTGCAATTTCTGCCATCTAAGCAGATATCTTGGTAGAGTAATTTAAAAACAGAGCTCGTTTTTGGTTTTTTTTCGTAGCCAGCACTGCACCAATTAAATATCAAGGCCAACATCCTGCGTTAGGCACCCTGGCCCAGGGTCTGCCAGGTGTCCATATACCCGCTGCAGGCAAGGAAGGAGTCCAGGAGTTGACGCAGCACAGGGTGAGGGCATCAGTGGCTGTCTCTCCCTGGGCAGAGCTGCACATGGTGTGCTGCAATGCATGCTGCTGTGCAAGGGACACTTAAAAAAGCAAAACATGCAGATAGCCTTGAAGTACAGGCAGCAGGAAAGATTCTTCATAATACCTAGGTAAACCTCTATAAGTTTCATTTCTGTATAATTCTGCAAGTAACCTACTTTTTGCTAGGAAGAGGGGGTCAGAAACAGCATGAACACTGAACCACTGAACCCCTCACTTGATGGCATTAATTTTACGTAACTTCCAAGTCATTTATATACCTATTTGCATCTATATTTCCCTCTGTCTAAAACTATTTTAAAGTGATAGATTCGAGGCTTACAGCTTCAAATAAGACATAGAGCAAATAATTTTAAATTTGCCAGTGATATATATGCAGAATTATTGTTGCATACCATGCTGTAGTAACCCTAAATTATTTCAAAATATAAGCAAGACACTCAATCATTAGAGGTAATCCTATAAACCTTGCTGTGTTCTTATCAGAAATTTGACAAACTTACATTTTTGAAAAATAACAATCCACTGCCCTGTGCAAATCTGTGTGAGTGGAATCTCTTGCTCACTGACACTTTTCTAAAAAGTTCTGAGACTGCAAAGTTTCAGGGATTCAGGAAGCTCAGATCCAAAGTAGCAGTTGCCTCCAGATGGCTGCACTTTCATTTGGTACTAAGCCTCCTAGCATCTCAGTGTTTGCATGTTTGGGATGGTGATGTGTACTGTTCCACTTGTTTTTGCCAGAAAATGTACAGGGCATTGTATGATAAGTTTTGACACATGGTATAGCTCAAAGAAGAGGTGAGAATGAGAGGGTGGGGAGAGAGAAGGGACAAGGAAAAGAGGAGGACAGGAAAAGAAAGGAGTAAGAAAATGCAGCAAGAGGAGTTTATGTCAGTGTAATGAATTCAGCCTGACTGGCAAATACAATCTGACTGCAAGTTGTGAATTTCATTGAATTTGATCCAAGAAAGACACAGCTGAGCAATCTGCAGGAAGCAATCTTTTCCTAGAAGTATGCAGCTCCAAACTGTACAAATTCTTCCACTGGTCGTAAAATGTCTGCCTGCCACTGAACCTGTGCAATCAGATACTTTTGAAGAGAAAGTGTTGTACTGAAACAGTCAACTAAAGAATAACAAGAAATATCACTAAATGTGGAGTTTTGAAAGGAGAAAAGCTATATAATTTGAAGTTGGCCAATGAAGGCCTAGTGATAAGGACAGTTAATCATTTCTGGTGCAGCTGTTTCCTGACATTTCTGCAAAATGTTGTGGAAAAATTAATGAAGGTTCGTTCAGTAATGGTTTCAAGCTTGGCTAGTGGAAAATATGACAGTATTTCCATCGTCAATTAAGAACAAGCAAGGCTTTTTTTTTTTTTCCGTAGGGGAAGTGGTATGCAGTTTGTAGTGCACAGGAAACTGTAGACTTGAGAGCAGCTGTGTGATAGTAACAGGTATGCGGAGGATATGGAGAAGGGCCCAGGCCCTCTCCTCTTATCACATGTGCCTCAGTGTAGTAGAAGTAGCTCTTTTATACCCTGGAAATACTGGA